GGAACCGACTCCACGGCACATAACAACAACAACAACAATGTATCAATAGTTATTTTTCCTTATTATTCCTTAGTTTCTGTATTTGTGCATTCTCACTTTTTATTACGTTAGCTAATAGCTTTACTATTTTATTTTTTTACAAGAACCATGATTTTTGTTTATTAATTTGGTCTACTGTTGTCCTAGTCTCTACCACATTAATTAGTTTTTATCTTTTGTATAAAAAAGTCTTTGTTGTTCTTGAATTGAAATTTAATTCATTTACTTTCACTCATTTTTACTGATAAAGGAGTTTAAACCCATTGCTATAGAGTTAGTCTCAACGCATAGTGACTCTGTTGTTGTTGTTAAGTGCTGTCAAGTTGGTTCCTACTCATAGTGACCCTTATAGGGTTTCTGAGAGCAGCTGGTGGGTTTGAACCATCGTCCAGTGATTATCCTACAGTGACACACCAGTGGCCCTGTAGGACAGGGTAAAACTGCTCCCTAGGGTTCCCGAGGTTGTAAACTTTTTCAGACACAGACTGCATCATCTTTCTCCCATGAAGTGGCTGGTGGTTTTGAACCCCTGACCCTTCAGTTATCTCTATGCTTAACCCACTGCACTGTGCCACCAGGGCTCCTTATAAAGGAGTTTGTTGTTGCTATTAAGTGCCATTGAGTCAATTCCAACTCATAGTGACCCTGTATAAGGTTTCTGAGGACCATCTGGTGGGTTTGAACCATCAAACCACCAACCTCGTGTTTCGCAGTACAGTGCTTCTCCTACAAGGCCACATCAGGAGTCCGTAGGGGAGTTTCGAACTCTGGGATGTCCTTACTGCTTAAGTGCAACTCACTGGTTCTGATCCACAGCATTTTCATTAGAAATTCTGTCATTTCTGTTTGTACTTCCTTGGAGGGCTACTGTCCATGCAGAGCTGGATGCTACATATCCCCAGCACACCCGTGTCTCAGGCACAGGCTCCATGTAAACACTTAGGAAGCTCCAGACAGACTCGGGTTGGGGTGGTACACAGGCTGGACTCTCACAACCAACTCTGTAAATAAGCGCTAATTGTGCCTGATGACATGTCATCTTTCCACACAGGAAAGACATTCCCATGGAGCACGTGAACTGCATGGACAGAGAGCAGACCAAGAAGGTGGTGTACTCGGTGGTCTACGGAGCAGGTAGGGCTGTGGCCAGGGAGGAAGGTCCCGGGACGGTCTGTCAGCCAGGTGAACGTGGCTGTGGGTCCTGTGCTGACAAGTTGTTTTTGTTGTTGTTAAGTGCCATGGAGTCCATTCCAATTCATGTTGTTGTTGTTAAGTACCGGGGAGTCGGTTCCGACTCATAGTGACCCTGCACAGGGTTTCCAAGGACATAAATCTTTACGGGAACAGAACGCCTCATCTTTGTCCCGTGGAGCCGCTGGTAGTTTTGAACTGCTGACCTTGAGGTTGGCAGCCCGACTTGTAACCACTACGCTACCACAGCTCCTTAGGTGCCATTAAGTAGATGCCGACTCATAGCAACCCTATGGAAAACTGCCAGGTCCTGCGCCAACCTCACAATCATTGCTACATTTGAGTCCATGCTGTGCTAATCCATTTCGTTGGGGGTCTTCCTCTTTTTCTCCAACCCTCCTCTTTAACAAATACAATATCCTTCTCCATGGACTGGTCCCTCCTGATAGTATATACAAAGTATGAGAGACGAAGTCTGACCATACTGGCTTCCAGAAGAATTCTGGCTGTACTTTTTCTAACACAGATTTGTTCTTTTGGTAGTCCATGGTACTGTTAATATTCTCTTCCAACACCGTAACTCAAATGCATTGATTCTTCTAGTGTCTTCTTTATTCACTGTCCAGCTTTCACATGCGTATGAGATTATTGAAAACACCATGGCTTGAGTCAGGAGCACCTTAGTCCTCAAACTAATATCTTTGCTGTTGAACACTTCAAAGAGGTCTTGTATAGCAAATCTGCTCAATGCAATACATCATTTGATTTCTTGACTGATGCTTCCATGAGTGCTGACCATTGATCTGAGCAAAAAGAAGTCTTTGACAACTTGAATCTGTTCTCCATTTGTATGGGTGTTGTTTATTAGAACAGTGGTGAGGATTTTTGTTTTCTTTACATTGAGGTGCAGCCCATAACAAAGGCTGTGCTCTTTGATCTTCATCAGTAAGATTTTTAAGTCCTCTTCACTTTCAGCAAGCAAGGTTATATCATCTGCCTATCGCAGATTGTTAATGTGTCTTCCTCCAATCCCAATGCCACATTTTTCTTTATATAATCCAGTTTCTTGAATTACTTGCTCAGCATACAGATTGCATAAATAGGTGAAAGAGTACAACCCGGGTACACAACTTTCTTAATTTTAAGTCATTCAGTATTCCCTTGTTCTTTTCAAACAACTGTCTCTTGGTCTACGTACAGGTTCTTCATGAGCACAATTAAGTGTTCCGGAACATTCATTCTCCACAATGTCATCCATAGCCTGTCATAATCCACACAGTCAAAAGCCTTTGCATAGTCAACAAAGCACAGGTAAACATCTTTTTGGTATTCTCTGCTTTCAGCCAAAATCCATCTGACGTCAGTAATGATATACTTTGTTCCATGTCCTTTTCTGAATCTGGCTTGAACCTCTGGAAGCTCTCTGACAATGTACGGTTACAGAGGGCTTGGGATTATCTTTAGCAAATTTTTGCTTTCATGAGATATTAATGATATTGTCCAGTGATTTCCGCATTCTGTTGGGTCATCTCTCTTTGGAATGGGCACAAATATGGATCTCTCTTCCAGTTAGTTGTCAAGGTAGTTGTCTCCCACATTTCTTGGCATAGATGAGTAAGTGCCTCCAGTGTTGTATCATTTTTGCATAGCTTCCAGAATCACAGCAACACACAAGGCACCACAGTATGACAGGTGGTGATTCCAACTCATAGCAACCCTGCATAGGGCTTCTGAGGTTATAAAGGTTGCGGAACAGAAAGTCACATCATTGTCTCATAGAACAGCTAGCGGGCTCCAATCACACACCCTTGTGGGTCACAGTCCAGTCTTGTGGTATGGATCCGCTGTGCTGAGAAGTAGCTGTACTTTATTTCAGAAAGTCACTGCTCGGGCTGTGAGACTCACTTGTAAATGTCTTAATGACGTCTACACAGGTACTGGCCAGGCCACCCTATGTGTGTCCTCAGTCCTCATAGCCCCCTTTAGATGAGGGAATGGAGTGTCTGCATTCTCCTGTCCTTCTCCTATTTTCTCTCCTCCTCTTTTCCTGAAAGCAGGCCTTCCCCTATCTCTCCTTCTCTCCCTTTGGGTCCCTAAGCCTGGGCCGTTAGGTCTTTCTAAATTCTTTTCTTCCTCTGGGTCATTCTGAATCCACGTGGCCTGGTTTTCTCTTGGAAAAGCAGAGGAGAGGGTCAGAGGAGGCTGTTGGCCCGCTGGGCCCTCCTTAGGGAGGCTCCATGCAGCTGTCATGCCTGACCTGCGTGAGCCTCCTGCTCCCCTGGACTGGTTTGTCTGCGAGCAGCAGGACTTTTGCACAGACTTCTGCCATGAAAGTCCTTTGTTTATTCAAGGAAGTCCTTTGTTTGTTCACTTCCAGTAAAAGGATAACCGGGCAAATGCATAGTCAATTATCCGTAAGTGCCACCTTGCAGTTCCCCAGGGTGAATGCAGTTGTATCTGATATACTTCCAAAGTGGCCTGTTACCACAGTTGTAAATACACCATTTACAATGGATCAAGAGCCAACTTCAAACTGGCCAGGCTGGTGTCCACCTCAGGGCTCTTGTACCAGCTCATCCCTTCCATGTCCACTCACATCTCAGCTCTTTGCTCAGATGTCCCCTTCTCAGCCTTCCCTGACCTCTGTCTTAGAGATCCATTGCTGTGTACCAAAGCACCACAGGCTGAGCGACAGTAACACACACAGTTAGCATCTCACAGGAGTCTGGGCACCGCTTAGCTGGTCCCCGGTAAGATGGCAGTCACGGTGGCAGCTAAGGCTGCTGCCTCATCTGAGACTCAATGGGGGAGGAATCCGCCCTTGTCAGCAGGCTGATTTCAGCCTTGCTGGCATCAACCAGAGGCTGCCTTCAACTCTTTGCCACATGAACTGCCCAACACGGGCAGTCCACAGCACGGTAGCTTCCTTCTTCAAAGCCAGCGAGGAAGACACTGCGACCTTGTGCAAGGTGACAACAGAATCACATCCATATTCTATTGGAAACTAGTCACAGCTCCCACCACACGCATGGCCAGGGGGTCACGCCGAGAGGCTACTTCCGAGTCTCTGCCACACCCACCTGCCTCCAGAGCACCCATCTCCTTTGCTGCCTTGCCTGATTAACTTCACAGCACCCTTGGACGCTCTCTGGGCTGCGCCTTGCCTGTTCACCACCTCCTCCTCCCTACTAGGGCACGAGTCCCTGAAGGCAGGAGTCTGCTCTGGTTTGCTTGGCGCCTGGCACACAGTAATTATTTGTTGAATAAATGAATGGACTCGGTAGCTCCATCACTCAATTTCTGAAACATGTGGATTCTGCACAGTTTGGGGGAAATAGACTAATAGACTATTTTGAAGAGCCAAAGTCAATGGACAATAGTAGTATAACATTGGCTAAATGCTTCTGAGTCACTTGGCGCAATGCTTCCTCTCTGCCCCTTCTTGGCTGTGCTCCTTACCCTTCCTGCACCTTCTGTCTTGGGGAGGAGTCTGCCAAGTCGTGTTAGATCTCACTGCTGTACAGCCTGCTTCGGGGTTACACGTCACAGACAGCTTTGGTCCACAGCAGAACATCGCCTCCTTCTCTGGGACTCAAGTTCCGATTCCATCACCTCCTGGACTTCATACTAGGCCTCTACCTCTCTGTGCCTCAGTTTCCTCAGTGGTAAATGCAATGATAAGAATACCTATCTCATGGGTTGTTGGAATCTGATGTGCTGTTGTTAACACTTGTCTTGAACCAAGTCTGGATCCTGCTTCAGTGACTTAGTAGTGCAGCAAACGTTTTCCCAGGGAATGTGTAACCTCACATGTCTTCTGTGGCGCCCACCACCTGGCTGAGGCGGTTGACCTACCCTGGGGGCAAGAAAAGCAAGGGCAGGTGTGCCAAGCGCCTGCTGAGTGTCAGCTCTGCTCCACATCATCCAGCAGGACAGGGAGGCGTTTCATCTCCACTACCACCCTGATGCACATAAAGAAACCATCTTCACTCCTGTCGGTTTGGCACCTTGAGAGGAAGGTAATAACTTTATGTTTTTTTCAGGAGAGGAAAAAAGCTGCACTTTGTAAATAAGCAGTGAGTCATTAGCCATGATGTGTGTGAAAGGGGTAATTTGGCTGTTTTTAGCCCTGACAGTGACACAGAGGTTCCCACCCTGAGCCTCATCTCTGTTGTTCCCATTGTTCCCGTCCAGCGTGACAGAAATTGCCGTGTCTCCGTAGTGCAGAGGTTCTGTTCCCTGATGTTGAAAGCCAGAGCGCCATCAGCACGAGATGAGTGGGGCCTACGTCTCTGGGGGCGCCAAGGGCCCCTTTGGAAATTCTGTAGCAGGGCTTTGGGCCAGCCAGTTCTCAGTGCAGTGCAATCACGTTTCCACATAAACATGCCCTTGAGGGCCTGGGAGCTGTTGGTGAGCAGGCAAGGGCCCCACAGCAGAAGCATGGCAGGGGGCCACATTTGCCACAGCCTCCACGTGTTGACTTGGTGGCAGTGAGAACTGTGATGGAGGCAGGCCTGGGAAATAAGTAGAAACGATGCTCACAAGGGGGTCTCATGTGCAGACTCAGCTCTTCAGTCATGGGGCAGGTCCCACTCACACAGGCTCACCCCGTGGTTAGGAACGAGCAGGCCTTGGTGGCTGATCCTGCCAGAACAGCAGGCGTGCGAGGACCTTGACTCGAGGAGGAATGGATGGCTCATTAGCCTGCTACTCTCACTTCAGTCAACTATTAGCACCTCCCCAAGTCCTGGGGTGACGCTGTAGGCTAATGCGTTAGACGGCAAAGTCGTTTGAACTGCAAGATCTGTAGTTCAAGCTCACCAGCTGCTCCTTGGAAACCCTACAAGGGTCGCTATGGATCGGAACCGACTCGACAGCACTTAACAACAACAACCCACCATGCTGCTCACAGCCACCTCTGGGCCCACTGAGGACCTGCCTTCTCCACCTCACTCTGAATGCCTTGCACACGTAATCAGTTCCTCTGTAATGTTTACCGAGTTGCCTCCAAATCCAGCCATCATGTGACCAACAAGTATCGATGGAAGAATGGTGTGCATACCTGTGCCAGGCCCAGCATGGAGGTGACACCATTCCTGTTCCCAAGGAGTTCAAATCTGCCAGAAGAGACATGAGCCTGACATTCTGCCACTCTGTCATCTGTGCATTTATAGGCTTGTCCCCAAGGTCCTAAACGGGGTGGGGGAATCAGAGAAGACTGTCTGGCGACAGCAACACCTAAACTGCTATTTATAAGGTAGGCAGGAATTAGTCAGGTCTCTTCCTCCAGTTCAGATTAGCCAGCGTTCCTGAAGACCCACTATGTGCCAGCCTCTGGCTAGCCCGAGAAAGTGAGACACTTTTAGCAATGTGGGGTGGGCAATGAGCTCTTGGAATGTTCCATGTCAGTGGATAGGAAGACATAATAGTATCAAGATGTTCATTCTTCCAGCATGTCATACAGACTCTATGCAATCCCAATCAAAATCCCAGTGAGTTATTTTATGGATTTCCACAAACTGCTCCTAAAGTTTACATGGAAAGACAGAAGACCCAGAATAACTGATATGGGACCCCTCACTCGGTCATGATTGAGAGGACCCACTATTGCTGTTTGTAACCACTTTACCCCATTCTGGCAGACTGGCTGCCCCTTCCTGTCATCAAGTTATCACTGAGGACCTGCTGTGCCCTCTGCTAACCCTGCCATGTGAACCCTTCACCACAGCTGTGTTCTCCAGTTGAACCCACAGATACATCTGCATCTCCCTCCTGCGGCCTCTGCCTCCAGATCGCATTCACATGCAGACAACTGGCCAAGCCTAAGTCATAGCCTGAACCTAGCTGCAAGGGCGTCTGGGAATGCAGTTTTCCACCTCCAGCCTCTGTAGTCGGAGTTCTCGTGTGGCACTGTAGGGTCATCACTGGACTTCTAACTACAAGCTTCTCAGTTCAAACCCACCAACTATTCCTCAGAAACCCTATATAGGGGCGCCATGCATCAGAACGGATTCAACAGCACTTAATAACAAGAATGGAGAAGGAGGACAGAATTCTGAATAGAAGAGATGCCTGACTGCACCCTGAACCTGGGAAGTCCTCAGTGCACATACAGGGCCAAAAGCCAGGGTATGGGGAGTAGGAGGGTGAGGGGGTATCCCACTTGAAAGAGCCACACTCATGTACACAGTGGGAAGGCTCACCTTGAACTCACAAGGCAGCCCTGAAGGGGTATGAGGTAGCCTTGGGCTATACAGCCAGAGAGGGCACCATGGCCAGTGTCTATCCAAAGGACCTGCCTAGAGGCAACAAGAGAGGCCAACCCAGGCAGACCCAGCTGAGGCATCTAGCTACCATGTGACTCCTTTCTGAGAGCCGATGGAATTTTCCATTAGAGTGCCATAGCTGAGGCTGGTGATTGGAATGTCACAGAGAGAAAGCGACAGAGATGAATTCTTGCAGTAAAATGTAGCAAACACATGATAACTTATTCATGAAGGCATCACATGGTCTTAATTAAGCTCACAAGGTCTAAAAAGGGAAACTGGAGTGTTTTAGTTGTTTTTTGTTTTGTTTTGTTTTGTTTATTTGTTTTTTCCCATTTCCAGTCCAAGGTCCAGAGTGGTCAAGCAGGCCTAGGCACAGAGACGGGTCAAGGGCGCTCTCCTAGTGGAAACTGGAGAGCTCGGGGTCCTCCAGGCTTTCCCCTCCACTTGGCCAAGTAGAACAAGCAGCAACTGCCCTTTACTCTCCTCAAATCTGAAAAAGATTCCACCCTGCACTCTTGAGTTCACCAGCTGTCCTGGACCAGGAACGGCCCAACTGAAGCAAGAGCTGTGAGGGCAATTGGTCCTGGTCCTCCAGAGGTCTCTTCTCTGACATTCTCAGATCCTGCATCTCCACCCAGTGGGCCATGGCTTCTAGACCATGTTGTCCGAAGTCCCCTTGGGTTGCCCCTAATGTGAACTCAGAGTTGACCCAGTAAAGAGGATAAGCAAATGTACTCCTGGTCCTCATCATAGCTCCCCAGGAAAGCAGGTCTTCAGGCTGCTTGTCTCATTGAGTTCTCTCAACAGCCCTTGAGAATAAAGATCATTGTTCCTAATTTACCGATAAAGAAATGGAGTTTATTGCAGGCCAGGTAACTTCCCCAAGGTGATATAGAACCTTCCATGGGTAATAGATTTAACTCAGATCCAGATCTGTGTGGTCCCAGCTCCTGCATTCAGCCATTTTGTGCCAAAACTCAGGTGCCTCTTGACAGCAGCTTTGGAAGATCACCTGGACCCTCTAGGAACCCACTGTTGTTCTAGACCAAAAGTGTTTGTCTTGAAATAAGGATTCTAAGGGTAGGTACTCCTGAGTACCATTTTCCTTCCTCTTTTGCTCTGTGCTCCTCTCCAGCTTTCTTTAGTCTAGAATCAGGTCTCCCACTGGACTGAAGAGCAGGCACCTCACCTACATCATTCACTGCCACACTCTTAGTACGTCACAGGCACTCACTCATTAAGTACTGTAGAATATAAATATGCCTAACAAGCCCCAGTTGACCAGCACCTAGTACATCTGTTTTTAAAGCCAAAAGTCAAACACCACCTTGACCAATCCAGGAAAGAAAACTTCCAGTGTTGTTCCTGGTACCTTGATTCAAGAGGTCTTTTGTTAGCTCATCCCTGTGTGACTTGTCATCCCTGGAGTCAGAGGCTCTAGAACGTGAGTTAGGAATTGACTCTGATCTGGATTCTTTCTGACTCATACAGGGAAGGAGCGACTCGCTGCTTGCCTTGGAGTGACTGTTCATGAAGCTGCCCAGTTTTTGGAGAGTTTTTTGCAGAAATACAAAAAAATCAAGGACTTTGCCCAAGCAACTATTACCCAGTGTCACCAGACAGGTAAGCTGGCTACTGCCAAAGCTCCTAGCCTTTCGTCACCCACTCTCACTCCTGCTCTGCAGCAGTCAGGTGGTTCCCACTTCTCCTGGCTCTGTTACTGAGTGCTTGTACAGATGGTGGATGGCTCTGTGGATGGGGGAGGCTGGAGGAGCGGTTCCACTCCTGCTGGATAAATAAAACAGAAAGTGCTCCACAAAAGTGAGCCCAGACTGGGCTCGGCTGGAAACTGACAGCTGGAATGGGCCCCAGGCCTCAACATGTTTCAAATATTTTGTAAAAATAAAGGCATAACTTATACAGCCAATCCTCATTATTTGAGGATTCCATATTTGCAAAATTTGCCTACTCAATAAATTTGCATGGAATCCGAAAATTAATTCTCACAGTGTTTGACTGCCATTTGGGACAGGTACAGAGTGGCAAAAGGTTTGAGTTGGTCACCATGCATATTCCCAACTGAGGTCAAGCAAGAGGCCATTCTGCCTTCTTGTGTCCACTCTCATTCTGTAAGCAAGTGTCTTTTCTGTGGTCTGTCTAGTACCACATCCTTTCACAATATTTTGCTTTTTGTTGGATTTCACTGTTTGAAATGACTGTAATCATTGTGCTGAAGTGCTGTTCCTAAGTGGAAGGAGGCTGTGATGTGCGTTTTGGAAAAAGTACACGTTTTAGATAAGCTCCATTCAGACACAAGTTTTAATGCTGGTTTCCATGAGTCCAATGTTAATAAATCAATATAACATTAAATAGGGGTTTTTTCCTAATTGGTTAATGAAACTATTGTAACTAGATGCTTGCAGGAGCCTGACCCTATATTTCTACTAGGGCAGTGGTTCAGTATTTGCTAACCCAGTGACTATATAGAATAGGATTAGCATAAATAATGAGAATTGTCTGAATTTGTTTAAAAATAACAAATTGTGATTAAAAGACATGAGAGCTAATGACTATGAAAATGTTAGATAAAAAACCCATTAAAATAAAGGGCATAATCACTGGACATAGTTGAAGTCCAAATTAAGGAACTGAAAGAGAATGCTGAAGAACTCATCTAGAATACAATGTAGAAAAACAGAGGAGTGTAACAAATAAATAAACTACAAAGACAAGAATCACAGAGGCTAGAGTTAAGCACCATCAGTGGAATGCTAGAGTTTTCAGAAGAAAAGAATGAAGGAATGATGGAGAACCAACATTGGAAGAGAGAGTAGCTTCTCAAGAATTGAAAAAGACATGAGTCCTAAAATCAAACTATATTGCCAGTTCCAAGCAAAATGAATAAGATCTAGACACAATTTAGTGAGACTAAAGAAAATAAATTATAAAGGGACAAACTTGACAAATTTTAGGGGAAAGAAGACAGGTTGTTTACAACAAAAGAGAAACTAGACTGACAGCTGACTAGACTAAATCAATGACAGAAGATACTAGAAGACAATGGATCATCTCTACATAGGGCTGAGTAACATAACTGTCACTTAGAGCTGTATACCAATCACACACTAGAAGGGGCAGAGCATAAACCTCCTTAGACAGAGAAAACATCAGGGAAAGTTGTTAGCATCTCACCTTTACCAGGTGACTGGCAAAGTCTGTCATGGGATAACAGTGAACACCAACAAACAGACAAACTTTATATATCAGTAATTTATATAGTTATTATTTATTTGAAAACCTACTTTATGGGTTAAAAAAAAAAGATTATTGCTGGATAATAAAATAATAAAGTAATGGTGATCAGTAAATAGTTGAAAATATACTAAGTCAAGAGAAAGATGAGCATACTGAATATTAGTAGACTTCATTAGAAAAAATGTATAGTGAAAATAAAATGAAAATACAATCTCTGGCTCTCAAATTATCAAGGAGAAGAAAAGAACTAAAAATAGTATTAACCCAACAGATGGCAGAACAGGGAAAACAAAAAGAAAAGAGATTGTAAGCAGGAAAATACTATAGAAAGAAGTCCAAATTAATTAATAATCAAAATAAATTTCAGTGGACTAAGCTTGTATATGTGCTTTTATAAGAAATGAACCCTAAAACACAACTACAATAAGAAGAAGGATATAATGACGTGGAAAAATATACGCTTTACATTGTTTTAAAAGTGTATAATACTAATAGGAGGCAAAATAGAATTTAAGGGGAAAATTATTAAATGTAAAAACTGACATTGTTGTTGTTAAGTGTTGTAGAGTAGGTTCTGACTCAGTGACCCTGTATACAGTTTCTGAGGAACAACATCATAATGTAAAAAGAAACATTAATCCAAGAATATGTTAATCATAAACTTAAAATCCTCCCTGACAATATAGCCTCAACATATAAAAAGCTAAAACTCTTATAATTGCAAGATTTTAATATACCTCTTCCAGAGAGTAATAGAACAAGCAGATGAAAATTTTAAATGATGATACAGATATTTTGAATATCTGCTCAGGCATCCTCTGATCACATATAAGTCTAAGGGGTGGGGAAGAGGGGCTTGCTTGAAAGGGCACCAGGAGCTGGGGTAAGCATTGAGTTTGTAGTATCCCAGAAGCCATGATTTAGCTTTCATGACAACAGCTGTCATAACCCCTACCCCACTACCCTGCTTTTGTGAAGACACTAGGCTGTGGCCGCTCTGCTCCATCCAGATTCCAACCAAGTTCCCAAGGATGCTCAGAGGGTACCACACACCTAGAGGTAGCCAATTGCAGGTGCAAGTGTGCAAAGTCTAGGCTAACAGAAAGCCAGAGCATCTTGTGCAGAGGCTACTTAGATATATAAGTATCAAACATGCACAAACCTATACTAGTCATATGTACAATAAGGGGTTCACACAATGTCCAAATCACATAACATCTGATTTCACAAAACATGTTACAAACATGAAGTAATGCATACCTGTAGGAATAAACTGAATTTAAAAAATGCAAGATTTGTATTGATGAAATTATTCAACCACTCGTCTGTCAATTTGGTGTACTACAGTGACTTGTGTGTTGCTATGATTCTGGAAGCTATGTCATCAGTATTTTAGATATCAGTCGGGCTATACATAGAGGACAAGTTTCAGATGAGCTTCAAGACTAAGACAGAGTAGAAAGGAGAGACAGACTACTTCTTAACATTTAGTCACTGAAAACCTTATGAATAACATTGGAACACTGTAAGAAGAGCACCAGAATATTGCATCTTGAAACATGATACAGAGGACCAGAATATTGTCAGCTATAATGCTGAAAAGTGAGCCCGTCAGGTTGGAAAGCACTGAAAATACTGCTGGGGAAAATCTGACCCCTCAGAGTAGAGTTGACCATGATGACACAAATGGAGTAAAGCTTTTAGGACCTTCATTTGCTTTGGAGCAAAACTCAAAATGAGGAGAAACAGCTGGAAACATCCAATAATAATTGGAACATGGGATGTATTAAGTATGAATCTAGGAAAATTGGAAGTTGTCAAAAATGAAATGGAACACATAAACACAGATATCCCAAGCATTACTGAGCTGAAATGGACTGTTATTGACCATTTTGAATCTGAAAATCACATGGTTTACTATGCTGGAAATGACAATTGAAGAGGAATGGCTTTGCATTCATTATCAAAAAGAATATATCAAAATGCTAGAATGACAGAAGATACATCTTCAAAGAAAGATCATCAGGAAAAACCCAAAACAAAAATGGCAGCATGATTGGCTACTACAAGAATAAGCAACTTGTTCACCACGAAGCCATCAAGGAAAGCAATCAAGTCCCTTCAGAACAAACCCCCCCTCCAAGACTGAAAATTAAAGGGAACACATGAGCAGGCACATAAGCTTGCTGGTAACCACACTGGTCTACTGGTGAGTGGAAGAGGGGGGGAAAGCAACAATGAAGAAATGGGCTGAGTTCAACCATGTTCCATAGACTCCCATTAACCTGGAGATGACAGAGAGAAGAAGGACTGGTTGGTTCAAAGTGTGGTGAGACCTGAGGTCACCTGAGCCCATGGACAAGGACATAGCCACAGAGGGCTAGAGCTGAGAGTGAAGCATCCAGCTGATATGAAGTGAAGGGAGACACACAAGAACACTCAAACTTGCAGATAGTACCCATTTGAGCTATTCTGGATAGCTTGATAATCAGAACTCAACTAGAAGAATATTTAAAAAAAAAAATTTTAATA